AGAGTAGTAGCTGCTTTTGAGCATGATTAAAGTGGGGATTTAGGAGAAGCAGGTGCAAACAGCCTTGAAGGAGGGGAGGAGGCCCTCTCCGTCTTTAGGACAGGAGGCCAGCACTGGGGATGGGCCCAGAGGGAGAGTGAGCATACACTACACTCTACGCTTAGGGGTCTTGGTGTGGTTTGTCTTCAGCAGGGGAGCTGTCACATGACAGGACTTGTCTCTGCCAATCACCTGACCGGCCTGTCTTGCAGGGAGCCTGTATATGGATTTACTCCTTTGATGGAAGCTGCTGCTGCTGGCCATGAGATAATTGTGCAGTGTTTTCTGAATCACGTAAGTGACCCTGTTGATTAACTTACAATGTAGTTGCAACAAATGAGGTGCCATATCACTGAAATATGAACCGTAACAGAATTTTCTTTTACACATTCTTACGCATTCTGCTTTTCATTCATTTATTCAGTACATTTTCTTTGAAAATCTATTGATGCCAAGTGTTTTGGTTCCTCGGCACTAGGGGTACTGTGGTGAGTAGAATATGACCTGTGATGATCTTGAAAATGCTCTTTAAAAATAGCAGTTCACCCCTGTAATCCCAGGTTGGAGGGAATAGGTATTGGTGAGGAAGATTTCAAGTTCAAGGCCAGCCTGGGTGACTTAGGCTGGGGATGTAGCTCAGTACTCTCTGAGTTCAATCCCAGTACCACAAATAAATAAGTAAAAAGAGACAATATCAAGTGTTAGTGAGGATGTAGAGAAATTGGTAACCTCATACACAGCTGATGGGGATGTAAAATGGCCCACTCTTTGGAAAACAGTCTGGAGATTTCTCAGACAATTACACCTAGGGTTACCATAGGACACATCATTTCTACAAGACTCGAAGATCTGTGTCCTCACAGAATCTTGCATGTGAATGTCCATAGCAGTAATATTTATAATAGCCAAAAAGTAGAAAGGACCTTGATGTTTTGTAATCTGTGTCTTTTTTCTTAGTGATGTTTTGTGCATGACTATGCAGTCATTTGACCTGCACACACACACGCACACACACACACACACTGTGCCAGATTCAAACCCATTCATTATAGCCAGCGGCTGCAGGGGGTAGCGCCCAGAAAGTTTCCTTGGCAATGGGAAGCAGTTTGATTTCACCTTTTAAATCATGCTTTCAGTTGGGGAGGGCTCAGGGGAGAGCAAGCAGAATCTTAGAGAAGCAGAATTGTGCCAGGTTAGTGGGGGGTTCAAGGAAGTTTCACACACACTAGGTGAGCTACAAAACATCCTGCAACTGTAGGAAGTTTACTGCCAAGCAGGATGTGGGGGGTTTGGGTGCTTTGTTCACATGCAATCACTTTGTTCAAGCACAGGTACAAAATGGCATTGAGGCACAAGATGGAGTCGGGTTGGCCATCACACTAGCAGGAGCCCCATTGTGCAGAGGAGGAAACAGGCTCAGACCTGCCCCCAGCTAGTGGGAGGCAGTTTTTCTCACTGGATTATTGCCTGAGTCTGATCGGATCACAGACATCACTGAGGTGTAAGTCTTCTGAAACCATCAAACACTAAACCCACACTAGCAGTGGCTGTTATTCCTTTATGGGTTCAAAAACCCTGACTGTGGTTATATGGCCCCACATCTCCCCACAGGGATGATAACGGTTTTGTAGAATAGGACCAGGGCTTTCAAACTCAGTTAAGGAACCCAGGCACACTGCGAAGAGATATTATCTTAATGAAAAAAAAAAGTCTGGATTAATGAAGATGATTCTTAATATAATTCAAAATGATCCATTAGGACAGAAAGCAAAGAGATTTATACATGACTGTGAAATTCTTGTTTTTTATTTTATTTTTATTTTTTATTTTTTTGGTACCGGGGATCGAACTTGGGTCTTTGTGCTTGCACAGCAGGTGGCGAAACCACTGAGCTAAGTCCCCGGCCATGACTGTGAAATTCTTAATAGCTGACTTTGGAACAACCTATCACGAAACCTTCCAAAGCAGAATATATAGTGGATAGATCATTGGGCAGGGCCTCCAGGCAGACCAACAGCTGCTCTTCTTAAAATAACTTAGGAGGGGGAAGGGGTAGAAATTATTGCCATAATCATGTGTTAATAAAATATTCATAAATGTGACTTTCCCTTTTATCATCATAGGCTTGTAGGACAAGGACACAAGATAAGGCAAGTCCTGAGCCCACATCAGAGGGGATGCCCCCCAACCTCGTCCCGGGAGAGAAAGGAATTACCCCGCGTTCCTTTCCTTCTCTGGTGACAGACTGCCAGGCCAGGGGGCTCCCATTGTCTCTGCTGTGCGGACTTGCAAAGAGGCTGCAAGGG